TATAATATTGTTATATTGTATATAATTTATGTATTAGTTATATTTTTTTGTGTTATGTTTTTATAGGCATTTGCATCTTTAATTGAAAGTGTTAAGTTTTTTTTCAAATTTAGTTAAGTTTGTTTCGAGGTTGATTGATGTTGTTTGATGTAATTTTTAAGCTATCTATTTGTTTTCGTTTTTTTTTTCGCTTGTGTTTATTATTTGTGTTCATGTTTACTTTCTCATGACTTAAATATTTTAGTATGGTTCCGGAAACTCTAATTAATACTACCAATTAAGGTTCAGATCTTTTTGGCCATCACCAGAACCGGGCCTCGGTATCAATAATTAAAAAATTATTTTCTTGTTACGTGAAAAAGTACTACTTTCCAGTTGTCGAAATCAAACTCTTCTAAATAAGTAATGATGCTATTTCTTATTGTTCTTGCTTCTTTTCTCTTTTGAAGTTCCTATAATATTTGTTATGTTATGTTTTAATAGACATTTGCATTTTTAATTCAATATTTTAGGGCTTTTGTCTCAAATTCAGTTAAGTTGGTTTAGGTTGTTTGATGTGAAATTTAAGTTACCTATATTTTTTTCTTTATTTGTGTTCATGTTAATTTTCTCATGACTGATTACTTAATAATTTGATATTATTTTCATTAAAAATCTCAATTTTTTATCCATTTTACTTTGAAAATCATCCCTTGCTTTCTGATTGATGAACTGCACCACCAATGAACAAAAATTAGTCAGTACCGAAAGTACCAACTAGTAGTAGTAGTAATAAATAAATAAATAAATAAAAACGCCTTTATTTTTAACTCGGCTAAATTCAGCTGAGCTGTTAGTTTAACCGAGCATTAAAAAAAATACAATTATAAGTTTACAATAAAAATAAAAGGTTTCACGATATTATCTACCTATCATAATATACTACGAAAAAAATACAAAAAAAAACAAAAAAGACAAAAAAGAAACAAAAAAAGGATAACCACCTAGGTATTTATCTGTAAAAGATGTTTATAAATTTTGATTTAAATGTGCAAAACGATATATTGTTTGATTGACTGATAATGGGATATTGGTTAAGCAGTTTAACTGATGCATATGAGAAGCAGCTCTGGGTCATGGCTTTATTAATTTTGGGTATTTGATAGTGCGTATTAAAACGTGTTTCGCGTGGAACGAACCTATGTGTTAGTTTTTCAAACAAATATGGAGGGCTCTCAGATTTAATTAATTTATGCAGGAAGCAAGCAAAATTAAGTTTTTGTCGATCCGATATATTTAGTCACTTTAGATCATGAAGTTTGTGGCTCACGTGATCACTACGTTTGAGGTAGTAGTACAGTAGTGTGGGGTATATGGATCACTAAATAACGAAATATAATAGCGAGATCAAATATAACTAGCCACAAGTCCACATGTGGACGTTGGTCTCCCTCGTTTGCTTCCATAACTCTTATTCTTCCATAACCTCTCTTGATTTTGCATCCAATTACTGTGGATGCATCTTAAGTTTCATGCCATCCGGTTGGAGGACGGCCTCTGCTCCTGAATTTATCATGTCTTGGTCTCCAATCTGTAATTTTCTTCGCTCATCGATCATCGTTTAAAATTGATATTTTTTCTATGATACCCGTGACTTTTGTTCTGTCCAGTACTTCGTTATTCAGTGCTTTGTCTCTCGGAGATAGTCCTAACATTGATCTTTCCCATGCTCTTTTTTAATACTGCTATCAAAAACAAAAAAGATAGAGAGTGTAGACGAATATTACCTTATATGTTGATTCGAACTGTTTTTGTACTCATATCAGGACTAATTAAGAGGATCACACGTTGAGACCAAGTCCCAGGTGCTTTGGGTTTATTTTGGGAGAGATTATTCCGTTTTTATTGATCTCCCTTCTATATATATCTATTCTCTATATCTTTATAGTAGATTATTTCTGTATCTTCCTTTTTTTTCATTTTGGACTCCAGTGTTCTTCCACTGTAGAACAAATCGTGACAAAATATAATATTACGAAGTATTTAGTAACGGACTGATTTTTGTGCTTCTATGGGATACAAGACAAGTGTTGTTGAACACGGTAGCTATTAACCCTTAACTGGTCCGGTAATAGATATGTTTTTTTTATATTTAAGAGGTGAAGGGGGAAACCTGCAACAGGTACTCGCCTGGGGGAAAACCTACTATATGCCAGACGAGTTATGTGGGATTTTTACCTCACTAAAACCCAACCTACACCTCTGTCCTTTCTCCAGGAACGTTCTTTCCCCAGCGGCACTCTTTGTAAATACTACTTCGTCTGGGCGTTCTTATTTGGTGTTACTGCTGTCTATTCTTCGTAGGCGGTGCGAAGATCCTTGAGTATGGTCTCAGCATAATCCGCTACCTTGTTCCATGCCGATTGACTCTTCAGCATGCAGTCCACTATATTTTCTGGGCCGATGGACAAGCCTAGATTTCTCTCGAGTTCCGTCCTTATCTCCTCGTATAGAGGGCATCGAAAGAACACGTGCTCCGCATCTTCGGTCACCACGCGGCAATAGTGACAGTTCGGGGAGTCAGTTCTCTTGAATCTGTGCAAGTATGCTCGAAAGCATCCATGCCCAGTCAAGAGTTGGGTGATGTAGAATCCAACCTCCCCGTGCACACGGGTGATCCATTTGGTGACATCCGGGATTAGTCGATGTGTCCACCGACCTTTCGTCGAGCTGTCCCATCTCACTTGCCAGAGACGATGACTTTCAGGCCTCTCTTATTCACAGAAGATCCGGTAATAGATATGTATCATAAACGGTCCGGCGTAGTCTGTAGGACATAACATATAGTCTGTAGGATATAACATTGTCTTTAACTAGGATAAGAACTCTAGGATAAGAATATCTCCGTGGGCGTGTTCTGGTTGTACAGGAATTGCAAGTATTCTACCAATTGTAAAGTATATTTCTCGTGGAATATTTGACATTGTTAAACGCATTTGTCTGGCAGATTGTCATATTGTCACTGTCACAGTCCTCATCATATCATTTTAATAGAGTTTCTTCATAACTAGAGTCTCCTAAACGGACTCTTTTCGAAGGCCCGGTCATATTTTACAAAAGCTTGACACACACAAAATCTTACAAAAACGGTCCGGCGTCGTCTGTAAGTAATTTCTGCCACAACTTCTACAAAACTAATCCAGTTTGGGCATAAATATGGATCAGTCGTTGACCGAGAGGAGGAGGATTAGCTGGAACGCCAATCCTGTAGGCGGTCCCAGTAACTAATGAGAATGAGTTAATTATTTGGCGTAGTCTGTCAGACGACGCCGGACCAGCTAAGGGTTAAGACAGTAAAATAGTTTATGTGTACTAGTATCGATGAAATAATGCGGATAGATTAGATACTGATGAATAGATTCAGACTAAGCATAATTAATAAATAAATCTTTCGAGGTGCAGAGTGCTGCATGTAAATAATTTTAGACAGATATTAATTTTTGTCAAGATAGATTTCATATAGGAATTCTGCTTTTTTATGTTTTATTTTTTCCTATGGTGTCATTTGCATAATAGTTCAACTAATAAGGACTCGGAAATGTCGCTTAGTTGTTTAAAAGCTTCATTAAGCAGGACTTGATTTCTCTCTTGAGACCTCTTTGACAAGTGTGACTCTGGAGACAGATAAGCAAGCTACTGTCGACATAACTCAGAAGTTTAGAGATGGACGATGCACACAAACTTAATTAACTGCAAACCGAAAACAATACGAGGAATTTATTTAAAATTAAATATTAAATACTTTTATAGATTATTATTCTATTTCTGAAGTATTTAACCCAGTTTATCATTTCGTAAAATAGATGTACTTTAACACATAGGAGTAGAAAGTATTGAAGATATATTCTTGTGCTTGGCTTGGTGCATTTCAGTTGATTTCAACGAATTCCGACCGCAGCGCACTCTACGGCAGAAATCAGAAATTATGAATATAATAGTTCACGTCGCCCGCCGTCATGTCCATCGCATTAAACTAATATTGAAATCGGGGTTTTGACATAATATTTAAGTATTTAGTTTTTTGCTAGTGCAGTTATTGAGGCTATAAAACACTCAGGTACGAGGTTTGTGTGATGTAGCGCTGTTTCGGGTAGTAAAAAATAATTGAAAAAGAATTCGAACTAGGCGTCTTGTTATGTTGTGACAATTTCAAATGTTAATAAAATTGCCCAAGAAAATGTTGACGCGTAAAGGAGAGCGTAATTAGGGCGTTGTTGGGTGCAATAACATTCAATAACTCAACTTTCTCGGATATTCAACTATCCCGAAATAACATTTTATTTTTTGTTTCGTTTCTTTGACCTGTATACTATATATTTTTTTGTTAGTTTTTTTTTGTTGTTTAGCCAAGAGTGAAAACAAAAAAATAACATTTTATATAGCTTCATAATTTTTTACACCAATTTGATCAATAGCAAAAATGGATTCAAGCAGTTCGCCGAAAAAGTGTGTAAACAAAGTGCTCGTTACATAACCAAAAAATTAAATAGACATATACTATGAGAGGATGAAATATAATTTGCAATATTAATGGTATACTTTTTTAAAGTGATTAAATGTTTTATGAACATCTTCTAAAATTATAATTATGTACCTTTAAAAAATTTCATTATAGCCGAAATAGCTCCAATTATGCTCCACTAGCAAAACCAGTGATAAAACTATGCTCGCTACCGTAGTTGAGCTCATCTAATTTTTTTTTAACTGGAATAATAATTTATAATGCAAGTTAGACCTTCTGAAGATCTCAAAATATTTACCTTTTTATTTTTTTGTTTAGAATTTCCACAAATTATACTTTCAGAATAATTATATACTAATTTTTTCGTTTACTCGCCATTTAAACCCGTGTATTTGTATGTATTCGTTATTTACGATATTCTCCGGCGGTGGCAGCACCGGCGGAGAATGCACCAAGCCTATAGTGATATTTCTATTAATCTTGTTTTCATGATTTACAGATTATTGGAACAAACTGATCAACATAGAGTACAAAGTCTAGAGGCCTGCTCCTCAACCATTGCACAAGGAGAAGCATTACTTCAAGAACTAAGGTAAGTTTTTTTAAGTATTTAAAGTATTAACTAAAAAATGTTATTATAACTTACGAAGAATATTTTATCGTGTTATTTATTTTATGTTTGACAAGGACGTTAAAGAAGTTATATTGCTTTCTACGCTATAGAAACGACGTCTTTTACATACTGCGCTACGGCGTGTCAGTTATAATCTAAGCGAAACTATTATAATCCGAACTTTAGTATCCTGTCAGATGTTATATCGCCTCTGTAATATACTCTATCGATTCTAGCGCGCTTTATGCCGTCATAGCGGAGAAGAGCTCTAGCCATTCTCATAATAAAACACTATAAACAGGTGGAATCCTGAACGATATGGCTGCGTTCTTTTTTTATTTCTAAGTGACATTTTTCACATAAAAACTTATGAGCGTGCCTTTGTTATATCCAGGGTTCTGGAAGGCATTAGAGATTATGGCATAGTTATACTCTTTTTATTTGGAATGAAACTAGGAGAGTTAATGAATTAACTAACAGAGTTTCTGTTTAAGTTTTTCTGTTTTTGTGTTGCAAAAGTTTATATTCTTATACTTGATTTTTCACACATATCCGTTAACTAAAATTTATCTAGATCCTAGATACAAATTTGAGTTTTTTAAGTTGAGGCAAGTTGAGGTTATCGTGGTGGTACTTTTTAGGATAGTCTCTACTTCATAACTCTTCCAATTTAACCAGAAGTAACTACTAATTTGTTTATTATATGGTTATAATACACATTATTTCCAAATCATATATAGAATTTTTTTAATCATTAATTTAAGTCAAATTCGACGTTGGCGTTAGTTTTTGCTTTGAAATAGATTAAAATTAACGTATTATGGTGGGTATTCACTTGCAACAAAACACTCCGAACGAACCAAACGCGTCGCGCACTCTAAACAATCTCTAACAAAACATTTTCCGGGCGCGCTCTGAACGACCTGCAACAAAACATTTTGCGCGGAGCGTTCCGCCTGTTTGCGGTGTTCGCTGCGTTCCCACCAGTAGTCAGTGTTAGTGTGTTTGTCGACATGAATGCATCTGATATTACCATAGCCGCTGGTGCTTTTTTAATTATAGAGACATTATCGGGTAACAAAAAAGAGAAAAAAGGAAAGAACGAAAAATGTGGGCAAGACGCCTCTTTTTGCGCCGTCAAAATATGACCTTACTTAGTGACCTAGATCATATGCATATGAAGAATTTAATTAAACTAATAATTAATTATACAAAAAGCCTTTCAAACTCATCAATTAACTCTAAGACTTTTATCTGTTCCACTCCATAGCTAGGCACAGTTGAAAAGCACCACAAACACAACGAACGTTTAAAACTGCCGTATCCACTGAACACCGGCCAACGAACAAATTCTTTTGAGCAAATCCCGTTTACCGACAAGCTTCGGAAAATGTTTGGCGCGTTCGGTTCGGTTCGGCGCAACGTACTGACTACACAAATTTGTTACAGCGCGCGCTGCGCGTTTGGTTCGTTCGGAGTGTTTTGTTGCAATTGAATACCCACCTTTAAACATTAACCTTTATTTTTTTTTAATTAAAGTAATAAAGTGCTAAAACATGGGGGTATTGGCGGAATTTTGAACCATCTGAAGAAGTGTTTAGAAGAAAAAGTTTTTTTTTCATTTTTATTCAATAGCAGTCCATTCTCGTCATACAAGGAAAATTAATTGATGATAGTACCTTTGTTACTTAAATAATTATCTGGAGTCATATATTTAGATAAATGGTGGGTTCGAATCCTACACCCGGCATTTCATCAGCCGACTATTTTTATTAAAATAAAAAATAGTTTGGGTACCTAGGTCGACTCAGCCTTAAATGAGTACTTGGGATTCACAATCCTGAGGTAATAATAGGCGGTTGAAGCGTAGTGCTAGCCACATTACCTTCCTTGTATACCGAACGGCTCTAGCATGGCAAGCTGTACCTTGCTACTCCCAAGGCGTTAAACGCTATATAACGCTATTATTATTATATAAGTATTATATATAATTCTTTAAATAACTTTGACTACTATAGCGGGACTTATTTAAAAAAATCTAAACTTAAGTTGAGTAATTAGTAATTAGAGAGAAAAAATGTATAGGGATTAGGTGACCTCGCGATAAATGGGATAGTTATTCATTGTTGTTTCTATCACGAGAATCGGGTGCTATTATTTAGAAATGATGAATGATAACAAAATTTGGCTAGAGGAATGAAAATTGACATACATACGTAAAATTAAACAACCTTTTCAGATGAAGTTTTTAAAAAATTAAGCCAATAAACTCACCTTTTAGTCATTAATTACTTTAAACGTCAAATATGTCAGATATCCGAGAGAAACAGGTTAACTCTTCTTATTGTAAAGTTTTAAAAAAATGCCCCACGTTGGGCGCCAAAATAAGGGGGTAATGCATTTTTTAAGCGTTCCGTTGTTACTTTTAATCCAGTTCAATGCAAAAACTATCGTCGAAGTCAAATTTCACTTAATGCTATAAATAATAACAATTATCATTTTTTAAATATTGATATATTTTTTAATTTATGTTGCCTGTTTTTTGAATTGGATGTCAAATTGGACTCAAATTTATATGGTTAATAAATAAATATTGTACAAAATTTTTATAAAAATACGATGAAAATAGCTTATAAAAATGATTAATACTTGTTGTTTTTCTATATTCTGTTGTTTTCCATATTCTTTATTCCAAACATACAACCTTGAAAGTTCATAAAAACAAGGAAGCCTCAGATAGTTAGGTCTGTAGAAATTTATGTGACAAGGAGGACAGGAAATAGCTATTACAGCGCCATCTACCGGATAAAGTGCAGGTGGCTGGAGATACTTTCCGGCCGGAGTTTACTTAAGGGAAGCTGGAAAATAAAAAGGTCATAAATTGGATAAATGGGAAAGCGGAGGAAATCGGGAAATGTTTTATTTTGTGGTGCGAGAAAAGCGCGGGCGGCGATTCAATTGGAGGTTTTGCGAATTTTGACTTTAAATGCGGTCTTGGTTTATATCGATTTGCGAGTTAGCGATGCAAATAAGAAAGATTTTTCTCTCACTGGTAATATAATTGTATATACACTTCACCGGCACGAAAAACGGACACCTTAAAATTTTGATATATTTTAACATGTTATACAGGGTGTCCCAGGCTGAGCGTGCATTAGAAGTTTCTAGAGAACCACATTATCTAGATCAGAGATTTTTTGCATATCATTGTTTTACAACGAGACCTATCGATTAAAAATATTTTCAATATGGCGGCACTTCCGGAAATACCGGAAGTTGACAACTTTCTTATTTTAAATGGCCGCCCCTATTTTTTATTACATACTTAAATTCTCTGTAAAATTCTATGAATATTGATGTTAAACACTCTATATCTAAAATTAACCGTTTTTGAGAAAAAAAAATATTTAAAATTTTTGGACGAAAAAACTACCTGGCAAAAAAAATTGTATAGCCTAAGAGTCAAATTTAGTGATTGCTACAGCTACTGTGATATAAAGAGAAGACATGTAGCTATCTATTTCAAAAATTAAATTTTTCAAATGTCATATAATAATGGCGGTAGCTGTCATGGAATTGAGCGATTAAAAAAGTATCATAAATCATTTTTTTCAAATGGAAACCCACTTTTTTTATTTCACTAGTGAAAAGATTTTACAATTCGTTACTTTTTAAGTATGTTCCTGCACCAAACATAAATAGTTTTTAAGTTATTTAAGATTTAGGTTAGGTTAGGTTAAGTTAGGTTAGGTTAGGTTGTGATAACATAACCTAAAATTCGTCTAAGGCAACATTAAGTAAACAAGGTTGTTGTCTCTGAAACACAGCTCTGAAATTAATTCTGTGCTCATCTAGTAGCAATTCTAAATCCTCCTCATCACTACTTTCCATGGACGACACGTCACTAATCTCACTACTATACTCTTCGTCACTCATTGCGATTTAATTATGAGGTTAAGTTAGGTTAGGTTGTGATAACATAACCTAAAATTCGTCTAAGGCAACATTAAGTAAACAAGGTTGTTGTCTCTGAAACACAGCTCTGAAATTAATTCTGTGCTCATCTAGTAGCAATTCTAAATCCTCCTCATCACTACTTTCCATGGACGACACGTCACTAATTTCACTACTATACTCTTCGTCACTCATTGCGATTTAATTATGAGGTTAAGTTAGGTTAGGTTAGGTTGTGATAACATAACCTAAAATTCGTCTAAGGCAACATTAAGTAAACAAGGTTGTTGTCTCTGAAACACAGTTGTGAAATTAATTCTGTGCTCATCTAGTAGCAATTCTAAATCCTCCTCATCACTACTTTCCATGGACGACACGTCACTAATCTCACTACTATAATCTTCGTCACTCATTGCGATTTAATTATGATATCTATTCACAAGTCTTTAATTATTTGAACATCCCGTTTAAATTATTCGAACAGATACGAGTGTAATCAAATTTGCTATTATTTTATTAGTTATGGCGTGGTTATAGGTTATAACGGTAATACGCATGCGTCGGAAAAATGATAGGAGAAAATTTTGCAAACTGTTCTGACAGTTTTCAAACAGTTTTCAATTTAAGATGGAACAGAAAACAAATGATTTTCTAACCGACAGTAAATCCAGTTGGAACGCTTTTCAACTTCTGCGCAAACTCCTTACTGTAAGAAACCGTTTCTTACGCGGGTTGGAACGAACCTAATATGACATAGCCAGATCTATTGTTTTACATCACTTGACGTTTAAAGTCATAGGCTACTAGTTAAAATCAAGACAAATATACGCTTTAAAATTAAATTTTAAATAACCTAAAAACGATTTATTTTAGGTATAGGAACATGTATAGTCAAAAAGTAACGAATTGAAAAGCCTTTTCACTAGTGAAATAAAAAAAGTGGGTTTCCATTTGAAAAAATGATTTATGATACATTTTTAATCGGTCAATTCCATGACAGCTGCAGCCATTATTATATGACAATC